ATTGTAAATAATACAAATTTTTAGTGATGTTGCAATATTTGCGCACGATCAATAAGAACGAGAATGCATCACGGTAATCCTATTACGATCACACGTAACTATTTTGTCAAAAGACAGTAAATACAGCGCCAATGAGGGTGCTTTTAATTAATTACGAATGATCGATACATGTCATTACATTAATTGTAGGTGTTACGTGTAATTAATTACGCGAATTACGGTAATATCGCCCTTTAATGCAAGTTCATTGGCAAAAAGCGGGAGGTTTCAAAAATCGATAGTCTGTTTATTCTCGATTAGTTTGCCGACATAAGTAGTTAATTAAACATGTACACTTTTTCCTTCTGTGAGAGAGAAGCGTCTCCTGCGCTCTATCGCCAATATTGTCGATATTATCGATATTAGTCACGCGTGAGGACGCGCCGATGTGTCATGTAACTTTATTAAAAGGGCCTTTCCGCGTATAATAAAGTTAAGGACAGGTTTCGGCTCCTGTTCGTTCGTTAGCTCGGCTCGCTGGCCGTGCCTTGACGAGATACGAACGTGTCCTGTCGGCGGGACACTTACAATTAACCGCGTATTCCCTCGCGTGTCCTGCTTCCGGAGGACCAGTTTAACCAACGTATACACACGCCAGGATCAATCATTACTCGCCCATCGCCTCCTCCTTCCTGCTTTTGTGGCTCGTAAGGAATTAATTCGTATATTTGCGTATTAACTGCCACATTCCTTAATCTTATTCATTATATTTTTTTTCAAAGGATATATACGACAAACGAGATACGTCGATATTTTTATTTGCATTTCATAATCAGATGATAACCAAATAATCAAATAAATCATAATAAGATGATCAAATGATATTAACAAAATAACGATAATTATGTTAGGATTTTGATGTTCTTGAATGATCGAGGATTTTCTCCGAGAAACTCCCGCGTATGAATTCTCGGATCGTGAAAAATCGTTACAATTATAATGTCGGACCTATAAATCTTTAGCTATCTGACGCTCCCAATGTTGAGATTTCAGGATCTTTTTCTCGCCGTCTTGTATTTCTCCGTCCTCCCTCGGGGACGGAGACTTCACACCCTTCCTTGAAATTATCGCGTTATCCACGCTTAATCGGCCGATCTCCCAAAGTTTCCCGGTGAACGAATAATTATACCTGATGAATATTCCATTTGATCCTACTTCGTCCTTCCTGTCCTTCGCTCGCCTCATTAAGAACCGCCATTCTGAAATCTATTTCTTTGCTAATGAATCTTTGGTCTCGCGAATTTTTCACTCTTCATATCTTCACGCTAGTAATTATTTCGTCGCGAAAAGTTCATTAACTGAGGGTGCGCGCAGATTGGCAGGATCTCGCGATCCTCGTTGTCGATTGTCGCTATCCCTTCGCCATATCCTTCGCCATCGAATTGACGCCCCTCGAGTCGAATGGACGATTCTTGAATCAGAATCACTTTCAAATCCTCAAAATATGTGATCTCTCAATTTCCCTTTGGAGTTTTTTCCTTAGCGCGACGATTGCATTCAACGATCGCGCTTGCGCTCGGCCGTGCAATATTTCTCCTTAATATTTAAGAAACGTAGGCTCTCGGTTACACGCTTATTACACGGTTGAACCGCTTCATTTCGCGAAAGAACGAGAAGAATCGGCGAATCGCGTGTCACGACGAGGTCTACTCTCGTTGTGAATGCCGGCGGACCACCATTAATGCACGTCGCACACGTAACCGCGGACATGGGTGTCCTTAAAGTGGAAGGAGGGAAAGAGAGAGAGAGAGAGAAAGAGTGAAATCAGAGTCCGTGAGTGACCGGTGCATGGGCACAAGTTCTTCCTTCTCCGGAGGGAGCAGTCAAAGCGGCAAATCCCGTGGGCACGTGTAGGTTATTTCTGCGCATCGATCCCCCGTTTCCCTGTTCATTTCCCCCGCGCGCTCGCCGGTGGTTTCTTTTGTGGGCCGTCGGCGCTGTGCCTATATTCGCTCCCGGCTCGGCTAAATTAAGTCGTCGTTTCACGCAACCAACCACGTGGTGCGTGCGGCGGAAGAGCCACGAATCGCGATTAAAGACGCGGTTTAATTAACCGTAGAAAAGGCCGCTCCTCGTCTTTCCCATGAAATTCTTCCCTCGAATGCTCGATACGCGTATTTTTTTATTACTCATCGTTATTACCTGACCGGCCGATGACTCATATCGCGGTGGCGCACTTATCGTCGACGCCGATCGAGGAAATGAATAATGCTTTTACATTCTGTAACGAACGTGGGTGTATAATTAACGGAAAGCATGAAGAGTGAAACCTTTGCATCCACACACATACACACACACACACACACACAAAACACGAGGCGGGCGTGTTTAAAAGTATTCCCTTATAAATCCTCGTGCTCTCTTAATGAATTTCTCAGAGTACGATCAAGTCTTTGCGTCACGGAAAACCCCGCGAGGGAAATTTACGATGAAATTTACAATTCCGCCGAGCGTTGATCATAACGAACTTCCTGCACCTTTCCTCCCCCTCACCCCTCTCTCCCTCGTATAAAAACGGGTTTCAGTTTGCGTCGCGAAGGAGTTAATTGACGTTTTCATTCAGCCGACGATTCCTCGAATCACCCGGCCGATACACGGGGGGCACGTATCAATGTCAGAGACTGCTCGGTATCGCAGTGCGAGTATCGTAAGCATCACTAGTCACCTGCCACGCTGATCCATTATGCATAAGCGCGCTCGTTTCGGCCAACAAAGAGCCTTGAGCTCCTCCGAAGCGACTCGTAAAAGCGAGCCACCTATCACGCGAGAAGACCGATGCGAGCCCGTGTAATGTCGGCGATAAATAGCGCGGTTTATGCGCCCTTACGCGAATTCCGCCCGCTTGCCAAATTGCTCGAAATAGCTCGACCGAACTCGGCAGCATCCTCCGTCCCGCGGCTTTTTCCGCCTTACGTCGATCCTTTACAATCCCGGCACCACCGAGAACGAGAGAGAGAGAACGGAGAAAGAGACGTTTCATTCGGCGAGAACACCGGGGGCGAATTTTTAACCCTTTTGTTCCCGGCTTCTCCAATTACGTAAACACGGCAACCCCGGCGATAAATAGCGTCCTTACGCGAATTCCTCCTCCCCCGAACCGTTCTCTGCGAGACCGTGAATAGCGTCATTCTCGAAGGGTATTCTTCTCGTCAATTCTTTCGCGGATGGGCGCTGTACATCACTCGGAACGCGGTGGGAAATCTTTTTTAACCCATTCGCCACCGGGCTCGCCGAACATGGATGTTACGATTACGCAGTGGCGGGTCGGCGGGCATTTCGTTTCGCGATGGGACGCGGCAGGAAGGAAGCGTCTCCACTATTCGCGATAAATATTTTGTTTCATAGCTGTATGTGCCTGTACATATACTATATACGGCGAGCAAATGGTATTTAATATTTACTGTTACATTTACCCTCGAGATGTAAAATATTTATCGCACGTTTCGCGCGACATCGTGGATAAGTAAGGTGACCATTCGCCGCCTTCGCCGCTGAAATATGTTTTCTATTTCAACTGCCAACTATTTTTTTCTCCCTGTCCCTGACACCGGCGGACACGGTCGCGCCGGCGACAAATAACGCGGTTTACGCGCCCTACGTACGATTCCCGCCTCTTTCCCCTCGTACCGCTGGAAATAGGTGGCCGGCATTTTATACGGCGCACCGGACAATTTTTAACTCTGGGGTTTCTCTTTTAGATATGAACATAATATTGCCTGTGACAAATGGCACTGTTTGTACGCGGCCTCTCTCCCTTCCTCCCCCGTTACCAAATAGTTGGGAATAGAGCGATTGGTCTATAAATAGCGTTCTACTGTCCCTCAGGGTTTTGTTTCCCAGCGAGTTTCTATTGGACGCGTAACGTTTCACCGCGGACGCTCCGGGTATTTTTAACCCTTCCCTTCCAGATTCTCGAAATATGCACGTAATTCTTCCCTGCTAATAACTTTGAAATTTATGATTTCATAGTTATCCCCGATCGTTAGCTATCGTGAATACTATCGTTTGCGTTCGGTAATTAGTTACGAGCAAATATGTTTGAAAAGTGGAATAAATGTATCTTATTAAGTAGAATAGACAGATATAAGTCAGACGCAGCGAGAGAGAAGGAGACGAAGGGAAAGTCGATAAGTTGATAGATTCTTTTATACTTCGTTTATTACTTGTGTCTACTTTTGATATTTCTACCATTATTGTCTAAAAAATAGTTATAATTTTATTAAAACATATAATTATTAATGGACAACTAATAATAAATACTAATAAATAATAATAAACTAATAATAAATAAGATTTTCTTAACAATTACAGGGTTAAATTAAAAAGCTTGAAGGAAATTCAAGATAATTACGGCTTGTCTTTGTTTCTAATTAATCCTTTTAATAATTAGTAAAGTCGAGAAAATATAAAAGAGAAAAGGTAATGAAAGTGTCGAGAAGGAGAAAGGGAGCATAAAAGTATACATAATTATATGTACTTGTAATTAATGTTTTTAATGAATAAAATGTCAGCGCGTCAAGGAAATTCGAGATTATTATTACGGAGAACTCGTATCTCCTTCTAATTAAGATTTCTAATGAACGAAGAGTCGGACATGTAATTTCCATTGCGAAGCAACACGTAATCAGCCCGAGAAGAAAGAGTTTGCATTTATCATTTAACATTTATTACATCATCGTTTGTTAAAGATAATAGTTTATATAGCTATATTAAACATTAAATCAAATATTATACGTTAAATATTTGACTGAAACGCATGTTTGCGAGCATGTGTCATTAAATATTAGATATTAAATATCGGAATTTAATATCACCAAATATCAAATACGTATCGAGTTGTGTTCGAGTATCGGGACACGGGTAAATCATCCGGATCGCGGCTTTTCCTATTGTTAACCGTCGACACGACACGTCTATCGCCGCGAATATCGTGCGGAAACCCGGGGGAAAAAGGAGCTCACCTCGGACGAGGGTAAGGATACCCAGCGGCATTACCAAGACGGCAACCATGAGATCCGTGATGGCCAAGCTCATTAGGAAATAATTAGTGACGTTCTGGAGCCGCTTCTCCCAGGTGATCGCCATGCACACCAGGATATTCCCCGCGGCTGTCCCTAGCACGAGGAGCGCCAGCATCGCCCACCAATTGTTGAATTGCCCTGCCTCGTCGTGGCTCGTGCTCGTCTCCAAGCCGATCTCGCTGGTGTTCGCAGGGTCCCACAACACCAGCGAGTCCTCGTAAGGATCCGTCTGGACGATACGCACCGTCGTCGATGTCGTCATCGCTCAGTCAGAACTTCACCCACTGAAACGCGTACTTTTTCTTTTTTTCACGGCACGCGAGGACTCTCCATCTGTGAAAGCGCGCACTGTGTTAGGCTCGTCGAGGGACACCATCAGGCTGGCGAGAAGATTTATCGGGATAGCCGACGGTTGTTGTAACGGATTGCGGTTAACAGTCGGGAACGTATCGTGGGATCTGAGGATTTACGAGGTGGGAAGATTACGAGGGATGTACGTGCTATAATTAAGTTAAATTAAAACGAGTCGATTTCATAAAGAGGGGCGTTATGAAACCGCGAGCTGGGAAAAAGGAGAGCCCACGTAGCCGGGCAAAATGATGAATGAAAGCTGAAATACTTCAGCAGCCAGAAATTCGAGGAACGAGAGCTCGCAGGAGCCGCGATATCGAGGACCAACAATTCGGAATGTTGGGAATTTGCGAAATAAAAATTCGCGCCATGAGAGCTCGGCTCGCGGAAAATTCGCGCAGAAAGGGGAAAGCTGGCGAGTTAAAAAGGCATCCAAGGATTCGAGAAATTTTAAGATAAAAGGATCCGGGAAAATGAAAATTATATCGCCGAGATAACGATTCGGGAATCCGAATATTTCTCAGGATGGAGGTCGGGGAAGAATTCGAATTGTTTCAAGCGAAATCCGAGAATGCGAGACGAATTGAAAGTTTGAGGATCTGAAAAATTTGGAGGAGCAAAATTTGAAGATCCGCAAAGCCGCGGAATTCTTGCGTCGGGACACTTTGACTCCCGATGCTCGAGCATTTGCCGCGGATCTTCGCATCGATTATCTTTCCATGACGGGCTGGCAAAACTGCCAGGATATTTCGGCGCGGAGACGGGAGAGGCCATTCTCTCCGCGTCTTCGACGAGTCACGAGTATCGATGGCGATTCAATTTCGCCGATGTGACTGATCCGATATAGCGGATGATATATTGGTGGAAAGCGAGGATTACATGCTCAACAGGTTACATCGGTGAGCGGATCGCTCGCGCGAGCGATCATGAATATTATTTCTCGTCGGATACGAGGATTGTGCGAGCGAACTTTCAACTTTCGCCGTCATTAATCTATCGCGATATGCGAATTGAATTCGCACGGTCGCGCGAGCAATCTCGAAAAATATTAGAATATTTGCGAATGTTTCGCGTGTTTCCAGTCAATTTATGACCCTTAAATATGGGACACCAAATCGGGAGGCGGGAAATTAACGGTCCAATGATTCATAAACCTGCGAGAAGTTGGCGGGTTGCAACGCTTCCCGGAATTACAGCTCTGAATATTTAAACGGATGTTCTTCAGAAATTCATGAAAGCGACCACAAAAGTGACGATAATTCCTCCAGTTACAAACAGGCATTTTTCGCGATTGTTCAAAGAACGCGGAAATTCCGGGAAGAGATATTACGTCCAAGCGGTAAGTAACGAAGGCTGAATCAAACAGATGCATCCGCGAAGTCTCGCGAGGCGCTTAAAGGGGCGCCGGTGAGAAACGAGGGGGATGACGACACTGAAGAATTCAGGCGTCCAAAATCTCGCGAGGTGCTCCAGACTCTCCGTAGTTTCGGGGATTCAAATCGAGGAGTCTGCTTCGAAGGAAACCCGAGAAACCGAGACACCCCGGGGAATTTTCCGAGGAGCGCGAAAGAGAGTTCGAGGGTATGAATTGAATTACTAAAATGAATTCGAGGAAATAAGTTGAATTACTCAAATGAGCTTCCAGAATAGGTCTCATGGCGATCCAACTTGCTTACGCGACAGGAGAGTGTAGGGGAGGACGGGGCAAGTTGGCTAAAGGGGTAAGTTAGCTAATTGATTATTCCCGTTATTTTCCAACAGATTACAGAAGAAAAATTTTATCATCATCTTTGATATGTTTGAAATCTCTGTTTGCTCAATTCCGTAATCCGCCAGAAAATAGCAGAAACAATCGATTGGCCAACTTACCCCTTTAGCCAACTTGCCCCGGTCTCCCCTACGATCGAGAACTCCGCACCGAAATTTCCAGGCAGATTTCTCCGCGGACACGAGCTTGACGGAGAGCTCGACGGGATCAATTAATATAATACGAGTTCGAAGGCAAGTTTCGTCAAATTGACTATTCAACTCTCTCTCTCTCTCTCTCTCCTCCTCCTTTCTCGTTCTCTTTCCCCCTCCCTCTCCGTCTCTTCCCGCTGCCGGTGGTTCCCGGGGAATTTCTGCAGACTCGGGGGAATTCAAATCGACCTGTGACCGCTCTATCTAATGGGAACTCGCGGAGTACGAAGTTGCCCGTGCGATCTTTCGGAAAACCGCTGCGGCGACCGAGGGACGCACATTGTTCGCCGAACTTTCCTCCACGGCGATAGAACACCCCCTCTCTCTCTCTGCGCGGTGTCCCGATCGACGACTCGGCGATGGTGAATTCAAACGGATGCACCAAGCGCGCGGCGTCACTGATAACGGAGCGCGGTTGCGAGGAATGCGTCGGGAGGGGGTAGGGAGGAAGAAAAGGGGGGGGGAAGGGCGAGCTAGTGATAATTGCAAGTCGACCTCGGAACGGAGCGCGAAGGGCGAGAGCAACGATCCACGGGGGTTGTTGCTTCGCCGCGGACTACTAGCCCACTGGCTTTTATTTCACCACCGCCACCCCCAACCTGCCGGCGTTTCTCACCCTCGCCTTCCACCGCCGTCTGCGCCCCCCTCGGGCGAGGGGGCGTCCCGACGCGCAAGCGTCGCCACCGGCCTGCCCACATCGGGACACCTGTTCGTCCTTCGCCTCGTCGTTACTCCTCGTACTAGGTGCTGCACACACCACTTGCACTCGCACGCGAGACGCGCCTTATCGCGCTCACGATGATTGATTATCGCGTCGAATTAACATTCGAATTAAACGCAATTAAAATATCAATCGACGATCGACGGGACGATTAGATAATCGGCAATTTCCAGCTATTTCGGGCGGGCAGGCGGATAGGGCGGGTAAGTCGGATGTTTAATTGAGAGCCGTTTAATTCCGTTTAATTATGAATCGGATGAATTGCGAAGTGCACCGCGCCGCAAAGTAGCCGCGGTCGACCGGAGAATTATCGCTCCCGATCGCGACGCCGGCAAATTGCACTTTTTTCGCGCGTTTAAACGCGCCCGGGAATTAGTCGTATTCGGAGTAATCGCATTTAATCGGGAAATTACGCGTATGACGGTGCGCGCGCACGCGTTTCGGACGCGTGTAAAATTGGGTATACACGGTTAAGGTAAATCCCCTTTAACATAGTCGCGCGAATTAAATAGCGCTTATTAAAATATACATTGTCGCGTGTATCAAATTATAGTTTATCGGAATAATCCCACGCACGTTCTTCGTGTATCTCCGAACGGAGGAGGCCAATTTCACCGTTCGATCGGATTCAGGGAATTTAAGCGCGCGAGGAGAGCGGAATATTAAAGAGTGCAGGATGGGAAAAAAAACCCTGTTCGCACCTACATACATTTCTCGGCCGATGAGTTTTGCATACTGATATCCACGTATTCCTGTAATTAATACAGCTTTTCCCCGGGTATTGAATTTACAGCGCGGCTATTTCTGCGATATTATTCCGCAATTTTTAAAAATCCCCGAATCGCATCGATTTGATTTTTTCCCGTTCGATTCCCTTTAATATTTCTCACGGAATAAATTAACGGACGACAGTGGCGATTCGCGCGGACCTCCCGCGTATGCCGAAAATTCGCCCGGACGCGCTCGTTCTCTCTTGTCGGCGCGTAACGCGATACTCCCTGATTTTTAAGTTTTGCGCGCCGCATCGCCGATCGATCGCGATTCCCCCCGCCCCCTCCTCCGATATTCCCCACGGGCCGAGGGGAAATAAACGAATCGATGGATTATCTATTCATATTGTTGCTAAGCGAAAACCTCATTTCTCCCTAAATGGAATATCGATTTCCAACGCATAGTGCACGAAGGTATCGTGAGACGAGGATACTAATCAGAGTCCCACGATAAGCTCGTCGCGATAAATTAGACTCGTATTAATATTCCCGCTGAATCGGCGCGCGCGCGCCTCCGTGGAAGAGTTGCCGCATTAACGTGAAGCGATAGTTCCGCGAATCGCGATAAAATGCGATTTATTACGCCCGCCGGGCGAATTTTTTACGTCGCTTCCGCGATTAAAGGACACTCGCAGGGCACTCCCGAAACGCGCCCGGCAACCGGAGTCCACCACGAATATCGCTCGTAACGAGGGCCGCTGTGTCCGCCAGAAACAGAAGGAGACGCTTCTTCATACCGTCGTATGTCGTCGCGCACGTCTCTTTGTCATTCGAGATCTCGTTCAACGACATGTTTCCGTTGAAACCAGCGCTGCCATCCAGTCACTTAAGTCACCTTTTGTCACTTTTTCTTGACAACTCGGGTGGAAATGTAAAACGGGGATTAGAAAAGCTTGACATAATTTTTCTCCGCTTGGATCTAAAGCCTATAAAGGCAAAGCCACTTAGGCCACTTAGGCTCTGTACAGAAATATAACGCTCGTAAATTAAAGCCAGATTTGTAAATATAACTAGACCTTATCTCGGTATGCCTAACTAGTTCCTATCTTGGTATGTCTGACTAGACACATCTTGTTATGCTACGAATTTATAAGAAAATTCGAATGCGGACTTGTAGGCTGTTTATGTTAAATTTTCTTTCAATTTAGATTTTTACTTAAGCATTATTCTTGAGAAACAAAATCAAATTTAGTTCATTTGTTCTTATTTCAACCTTATTTTGGTGAATTTCACATGAATCTTTTTGAAATCTTATTTTCAATTGGTTCAAGAATCGATTACCTAGGCTCTGGTTGGATTCTATGAATAGGCCTTATTAGGAGCATTCACTTTAATACCTATATAAAGTCTGTTTATGAAATTCAAAAATTGCTTTTCTTAGCCATATCTAGGCTCAACGAAAACAGGCCTATTTTTGGACATGTCTACCTAGGTACGTGTGTACCTATTATATAGACTATAGACTTGAGACAAGCTTCGATTGATTTCTATCCGGACAGTCATTAAAAAATTCATTATCGTCCAAAATAGATCAATATTATCTTGTTTTCTTGAGCCGCTGATAAATATAAAATTAAATCTAAAGTATGACCATTCTATAGATATTTTTGCTGTCTCTCTTAACCCTCAAATAACAAGATCGGGTCGGATCCGACTGGATCCATATTCTAATGCTTCTG